AGTCCTTCCCCTCAGGGCTGCTATCCATCCACTCTCCACCCAGCCTGTCCTTGTGCTTGGGATTACCCTGACCCATGTGCAGGACCTTGCACTTGGCCTTCTTGAACTTCATGAGGTTTATGCATGAAATAACAAATTATGCATGAAATAGAAGCACTTTTAACTTTTGGGTCATTAACAGGCCTCCGTATCGTCTGTCTAGGTCAATGTCTTGAGAAGACAGCAGCGCATGATCAAAAACCGTGAGTCAGCCTTTCAGTCACGGAAGAAAAAGAAGGAATACATGTTGGGACTGGAGGCAAGGCTGGAGGCAGCCTTGTTGGAGAACGAGAAACTTAAGAAAGAAAACAGCACACTGAAGAGGCAGTTGGATGAAGTAGTATTAGAGGTAAGAGACTGATGAAGATCTGAGTTTATATGAAGCAGTTGCTCGGGTGGAAGGCACTTGAGCAGAATTATGGATATGTTGACTGGAAGATCTTTGGGGGTGTCTTGCCCAACCTGCCATGTTAACAGGACTTCCCTCAACTCCAAGTCAGGACAGCTGTCACTATCGAATTGACTGTTAATTTTTATTTCATGGTGCTTCTGAAGACTTCACTGAGAAGATGGACTGGACAGAAGCTGAATATAATGTACAAACCAAAGAGTTCTATTTTTAAGTAGACTTAGCATACGCTCATACATAATTAGGCAAATATAAATCAAAAAAGCAACTGTAATTTGGTGTATTTAGCTTCTGACATACCTTTGCATGTCCGTGCCCCTTCTTTGAGTGTCTTCTCTGTTTATTTTTTCCTGTCTAGAACCAGAAACTCAAAGTATCATCTCCAAAGAGAAGGACCCTGTGTGTGATGGTGATAGTGGCTTTCATAATGTTGAATTATGGTCCACTGAGGTAAGCTGCCTAGGAATTCCTCTTTGCAGAGCAAGTTTGCTGTCCTGTGATTTTTTTGTTAGAATCTTTAATTGTTGCATTGTTGTGTTTTAAAGCCTTGAGCTTGAAACCTGAGGTACTCCCCTCCTGCCCAGGGGCATCCATCTGGCAACAAGAGCTAGATCTTGTACTTTCTCTTGACTTGGTGTTTTGTTAAGGAAGCATACAGCAGTTTAACCTCCTGAGGTATCAATGGGGCAGACAAAGAGCTGTGTTTAGAATCCTTTCAGAAAAAGAACCACAGATTTAGTGAGCTCATCTGCATGTTTATACCTCCGCTAATCTCAATATCTGTGAGTTTAAGCTGGTCTAGTACCCAGTACAGGAAATCCCCCTGTTTGTTCCCCTGCTTTGCAATCCTGACCCATTAGATGTGTCTAGCTGCAATCTTCCTCACTACCGTTTAAGCCCTGTATTACATGTCTTCTAGCTGTGGTGAAGAGGTTGTTCCCTCTTCTTAATTAGCTGAAGTGGTAATCAAAAACCTCTCTTGTTCTAACAGTCTCAGTGGGGCATAGGAACCAGAGAGTGGGAAGGAAATGCTGCAGTACTTCCCAGACACTTTGTAAGGAAATATGTGGAAGAGAGGAGACTAAAAAGGGATCCATTTAGCCTAGCTTTGGAACATTTTATAGGACCTTTTATGTGAAGCTGTTCGTGTTTTCAAATGGGGAGGATATTCCAGTAGATTCCCAGTCAGCACTGTCTCCATTTGTCCTCAAAACCCCAGTCAAACTAAAGGAAAGGGGTGGGATAAATCTGGAGGAAGAGTTTGTTTCTGACTATGCTAAACTTTTACAACGTTGGTGTTTGTATTTTTAATAATATTAGAAAATTTGCTAAAGCTGAAACTGCACTTGAAGTAGTTGCACTCACTGCAAACACCGTTCAGCTCAGGTGGTGAAATACAGCTGATAATTTTACTTTTGATGTGGATGATTTTAAGGTAGGCCGATTGTTAGTGCATTTAGGGTTTGTATGGGGATTTTTGACTATTAGGCAGAAAAGTCAGCCTCCAGATGCTAAGTGACTGATTAGTACAACCCAACGTTACCACTCCCTCGAGAGACACTGTGCTTAGTTGGAGGGAACCAACAGGACCAGTAATCTTTTTGAAGCTGGAAGAAGTTTAAGTTGCCTCCACATCACTGTGAGGAGTTGGAATGCATGAAGCTCTTGCTAGTTTTGAGAGGCTGGGAAACATACAGAAGATGGGTGGGAATTCTTTTTTCACAGTGCTCTAACGCTCCGGCGTCAGCTGCTCTATCCCCAGGAATGAGCAAGGTGTTGAGCCTGATGGCAAGAAACTGCCGTCGGAGTAGGCTGGAAGGTCAGTCTGTGCTCATATCCTTGCACCAACCAGTAACTAGAGGAATGTCACAGGGTTAATTTCTTGGCCTGTTTGATGTTTAATGATGTAGATAAAGCAAAAAGAAATTCTTGGATGTCTGGCCGAGCATGCCAGTGTAAACATTCTGCCTCAACTAGGTGGTTTGCATCAGTGGGGAGATCGTTTATGCAGTGAGGAGAAATGTAATTGCAGATTTGCAAGAAATTACTCTTCTCTTTCTGCCTTTTTTTTTTTTTTTCCCCCTTAGCAGAATAAATGCTTGCACTGCCATTAAAATACTAGACTGTGTCAAGGTGGAGTGAATTTGATAGTGCAGTGCCCGTTGGAAGGCCCAGAATGTGGGATATATAAACTATTACTTAAGATTTCATTCCTCCCATGGGCATCTTCTTCCTTTTATAGAGGTGTCACTGAATGGTAGCTCTGTGAATGGGGTAGTCATGATTGCTCTTCTGCTTAGTCCCTAACAGCAGAAGTGTCCAATACACGTGATGTTTTTCAGTCCCTGCAACTTCTTCTAGAAATAAGAATTTTTTTAAAATAAACTATAAGCTAGCACCCATATTTTAGGAAAAGCACTTCCCTCTCTCCTCCCAAGTTGGCTCTCTGTGGAATACCTAACTTCTAATCAATGGCCAACTGGAGATAAATCTGATTTGAAACTTTCTGACAGTGTTGCCACTTCTCCTACATAGGAAATAATTTCACCTGCGCACCTGTATGGAGGTATGACAGCATTCAGACACTGGGTGTTTTGATTCCAACATACTAGCAGTGAATATTTTATTCTTTAAAAGCGGTGAACCCTTGCAAAGAGTGAGTGACATCCAAAAAACTCAACGTGGGAATTTCGCTCCCCTAAGTTCTGTAGCAGACTTTGAATTCCCTTAGCTGGCCTTATGGTAAGATGCTTCTCAGTTCCTTAATCGGAAGTGATAGGATTCTTTGAAGGCTAAAGGTAAAACAAATGAAAATCCATAGATTTTCTGTTCAGCTGCCTATTTCCATCAAATCAGAGAAGGCAGGGAAGGGGTCGGGGTGTTTGAGGAGGGGGATGTTTAACTGAAGGACAGGCAGTCCTGCAAACCCTCCATGACCTGCAGCACGTCAGGAGAGGTGCAGGGCAGTGCTTGAGCACTTGGATTCCCACACAAACCTCTGGATGGATGGCTGTGTAGTTGGTTCCATGTTTTCTTCTGCGTTAGTGGGCACGTGTTGTGCTAGCACTGGTTCACATGTAACTTTGGTCATTGGTCTTAAGGCTTGTTAACTGTGTATGTAAGTAGTGAGATGTTCGTGATGTTCCGTGAAGGGTTCGGAGGCTGTGCTGTTCTGAGGTTACGAGGAGCAGTCCAGGATGTGGCAGCCCTTGGCAAACAAGTTTAGCAGATAAAATTATTCTGTTGACACATTTTTTCATGCTGACAAATACACCGTGCGTGTGGATAATCTGTAACATTGAACCTGGGAATATGGGAGCGGGGCTGAAAGTCTGATAGGGAAGCTGGCGTATTGACTCAAGAAATGTGTTGGAAAATATTGGAGGGAGAATCTAGTCCAGTCTATTTAATTGCCAACAAGCTTTTCAGAACATTTTTCAGTCTTGGATATAGCACTGTGTTATCGCTGATAAAAAAAATGTTAGTTGAATTCAATAAAAATAGAACGTAAGTGTGAATTGAATACTTTCTGGTCGTGAAAGTGGCTTGTGTGGAGCTAATGGTAACTCTGCATTATATTGTCCTGTGTTACTAAACTCTTGGGTTTGTTGATATTTGTATAGAAAACGGAAATTTTAAATTATTGAGAGTAGAAGTAATTTAGCAGGAATTCTATTAGTGTAAGTTTCTGTTTCATTTCTTTGCTTTATACTAGAAGAAAGGCATCCAAGAATCTCCCATCTGTGTGTCAGTGAACTGTTCTCTAATCTTTGGCAATTATTTGGATTTGGATTTAATATCTGTAAAAATTTCCTTTTATTATTATTGAAGAATGATTGGTGAGGTGTGTGAAGGGAAAAGGGTGCGTTTTCATCTAACTCCTTGAAGAGGTCACCCCCTCGCCCCAGCCTTACATACCACGAGGTGCGAGACAGGGCTTGGCAGCCCACCGTGTTTGCAGGAAAGGCGCTGAGCTCACAAACCTTGGCGGGCAGCAGGCTTGGGAGCTGGAAGCATGGCATCTGGGGGCAGGTATCTGTGGGAGGCTGCATCTCCTGCTTTCGTGCCTGCTGCCTGTGAGAGCCAGCGTTGGTCGGCACGGCTGCGTTCTCAGCTGGCAGCTGCAAGATCGCTGACTGCTGGCATTAAGAAACATCTAATTGGCTGTATGTTTCCTTTTTAATCGTCTCCAACATGAAATCTGAAAAATTTCATACTGTTAGAATTCCTAGATGTCTGTTTTCCCCCCACCCTCTCTCGTTTCATTTCCAGATTTGTGTTAGACTATGTGTAGTAATCAGATCCGATAATGTGTTAAACAAGCACAAACAAGGCTGAAACAAATGGAAACCAAACACATGTTCTAGTCTAAACAATCCCTGTATTTATTTTGGGAATCTTTTCCTTTTGTTTCTCTTCCCTGGTCCCCTTTGAATATAAATTATCTTGCATGTTTGTGTGTTTTTTAATGCAAGTTCTACATGTGATAGTGAAATACTTGGAGGAAACTAACCTAACTGGTGTATGAAAAGTAGGGAAGGGAAAACAATTGCAGAAGATGCAAAAGGTAAATTTCCTGCATCTCTGCTCCTTGGGGCAGTAGCAAGCAGCAAAGCAGGTAAGCCAGATACTTGTGAGCGGCCCTAGCGTTGGTGTCTTGGCTAGGAAAAAGGTTCAACGTGTTATTTTTCCTCTCCTAATCAGTCTGCTCATGGTGGTCATCATCTAACAACAGTCTCAGAACATTTATAACAATGTCAGCTAGACAGAATGTGTCCTAACTACCATTTGAGGTATTTAGTGGACAGAAAACAACAAAAAATACGAAGATGGAGAGGGGACAGGCGGGTCTGTGAAAAGATTGGAACGGAGAGGTTGAGAAGGTGGTGTGATTTTTAACTTTTTTTAAATTTTGGTGTTGTTTTTTCTTACAAGTTGGCCATCTCTGTATGGCTGGAACCCCTTTCGAACTGGAAAACAGACTTGATGATGTAACCAAAAATTCTTAAGCTGTATTGTGGTGGAGGATGACTGAGGTGGTGATTGATGGAGCTAAGTAAAGTTGCTGCTCCAAAGTCTCTTGTGTCCTGTTGACCTACAGCAGCTGTGCTGGAGTTGCTGGCCTTTTGTAGCCACTTCATTGCAGCTCCTCTCTGGAGTGTCCTGATGGGTTTTCCTCTACTTTCCAGGACTATCCTGGAAACTGAATAATCTATTAAAAATGTAGATCCACTGAGCAATCTCCAAATAAAGACATTGGCCTGGATAGCTGAGAAGGGTGATTTTTCTGCTGTTGTCACAGCCTGCAACAAATGGAGAAGCAGTGATTTTTGACTCTTAAAACACTTAGGGGCGTGTCCCATTTCTTAGAGGGGTAGCGCAAATGTTAGGATAGAAAGCCAGATGTGGTAAGATTAACCATTTTTTTTACAAAAAAATAAAGAGGAAATTACCCAAGGGTTGTTGAGCTGCCTTGCTGCTGCTTGTAAGCATGAAGTAAGCAAGACACACCATCACCCAGCTTGGCATCCCACCTAGTCTGCTGGCTGGTTGTCAGTGCTGAGGTAGCCTGCTGAGCTTTCGGAGCACGTCTGGTTTGGGCTGCTGAAAGCACCATCCCCTCAGCACACCTGCACTGCTGTCAGTGTGGTTTAGGGCCCTTACTCGAGCTGATCAGGGTGCGTGGGAGAGCAGGGTTATTCTGAGGTTTGGTGCATTCAGCAGTGTTTTCACGCAAGTTTGCTATTGTTTGAGCCTTAACTCCTTGTTTAAAGAAACAGACCTTATGGCAAGTAGGAGCCCAGGGATACCTTGGTGGTGGGAGAAATAATTTTCTGGTTCCCTTAAAGGGAGCATTAGCTGTTGCAGGCAAAGGAAAGGAGCTAATCTCGTTACCAGGACATCACGTACAGCAAGCGTCGCAGTGTTTTCACGCAAGTTTGCTATTGTTTGAGCCTTAACTCCTTGTTTAAAGAAACAGACCTTATGGCAAGTAGGAGCCCAGGGATACCTTGGTGGTGGGAGAAATAATTTTCTGGTTCCCTTAAAGGGAGCATTAGCTGTTGCAGGCAAAGGAAAGGAGCTAATCTCGTTACCAGGACATCACGTACAGCAAGCGTCGTGTATTTGGTGTGCTCAGGTTGGAGCCCGCAGCAGCCGGTCCTGGGCGAAGATCTGGGTTTGGTCTGGATCTCACCGCTGTGCTTGCTGTAGGAGGTGAGCTCAATCGTGAGATTAGGCAGCTTCGTGGCATGTTTGAAAACATCCCAAATGTCCTCTTGAGTAAGATGTGCTGAGCAGACTAAAGCCATGTGTCTGGCACCTGCCTAAAATGAAGGGCAGTGAGTAGCAACTGAAACAGGGTTTTACCTTTTCCCTGTTGCCTTAACAATTCTTCCTGGTCACCTGTGTGCGCTCCTTCCTCACTCCACTCCGGTACAAAGCCAGGTTAGTTGAAATCCCCTACGGCCTGTAGTGTGTTGGAGGAGGATGTCCCCGGCCAGGCTCCTTGCTTCTCCACTGCCACCTTCCAGCTGAGCTAGTGCCTGACCCAGGCTGAACCGGGAGCGATAAACATACCCGTGGCCCGCGATTTCCTCAGCCCCAGGTTGCGTGGTGTTGTCTAAACTTGCACCAACTGCTGAAGCACCTCTAAGAGAGATTCTGAGAACAGACAGACATAAGTTGTGGGCTGTACAACAGGGGGAGTTTCCTGCTCTCAATTAATTCAATCCTGGGATTTTTTTGCGGTTGGCAAAGGATAGAAAAGGATTGTTTCTCTGCTGTTTGCAAGCTTCGGTAGCCTTCAGGAGGCTAATAGACTTACATGTGGCATATACCTGAAGTGTGCTAACAAACACGTATAAATGATGACAATCAAAGAGCTATTAACTTCTTACACGCTGGTAGAGAAGGACTGGTGCAATAGGAAGAGGAAACTATCAGATGAGTGCAAGAAGCGTGCCACACAGCCATGGTAGCCTGCTGCTTCTAGCTGCCAAGGCATTACAGAGCCCTCTGAGGGTTTTAAGAAAACCAGCAGAAGCTTCTGAAGGTGTTTGTGGCTCTTAACACTTCTAACACGGGAAACAGTGTGATGTGTGTGACACAGAATACGTTGCAATGCAGAGTTGAGTGTACAGTGGGGTTGGGCATGGCCCAAACCTAGAAAACTGCTTCTGTAGCACAGTTTTGGTCTTAATCATAGAATGGTTTGGGTTGGAAGCGACCTTAAAGTTCATCTAGTTCCAGTCCCCTGCCTTGGCACACCTTCCACTAAACTGGGCTTCACCACCTTCTCCGTGAGAAATTTGTCTATTGATACCCAATCTATTCCTCCTCACTTTAAATTTAAACCCATTACCCATTGTCCTGTCACAACAGGCCCTTGTAAAAAAAAAAAAAAACCCACAACAACAACAACAAAAAAAAAAAAACCCAGCCAGCTTTCTTGTAGGCCCCCTTCAGGTACAGGTCTTGTGTGGTAGTTTCTCCTTGAAGAGAGAGAAATCAAGATGAAGAGGATGGGCTGAATAATTTGGGCTGGGGTTCAAGTTCCAGACCTTTCAGAACCTCTACTGATGGGTGGGTGCTTGAATAAAATTGAATTCCCTTGATTTTGTTACAGGCTGCAGCTGCAGGAGCAGGAAGCAATTCCTGCCTCCTTCCTTTACTGATGGCAGCCACGTGTTCATCCTGGCAGGCTTGTGCCTTGGCCTGGCTGTGCTCGCTTGTTTGCCTTGTCCTGCTGTTGCAGTTGCAGAGCCCGCACAGAATGCCAGATGCACTTGCTGATAACTTTCCCCTTTGTCCGTGCCTTCATCGCCGGGCTGGGAGTGAAATACAGAAGTTTTGCCCTGAGGGTACATTGCAGGTGAGACAGCTTGCCTCAGGCCTGCCCAAGCTCTGGCAGTAAAGGCCAGACCACTTCCAAATAAATGTATATAGTGTTCGAAGCAAAAATAATGCTCTGGGTGCCAATACTTGCTTTCTTCTCTAACAGCTTTATTAAAAATACGTTGCTTTTTAAAGAAAGCAAAACATAGCGATTGTCCCTTCAGTTTGGGTTGCTTTCCTCATGCTTCCCAGCAAAGGAAAGAGGCCGGGCTCCTCTTACCAGCCCAGCACTCACAGAGAGTAGCTCTGGAGCATCCTGGCAGGAGAAGTTAGTGCCTTGCTGCTGACAGATGGTGCCCTCACTGGGAATAAGAAAGGAGTAATACTTTCCCAGAGGGTGTTTGGCACTGTGGCAGCCCTGTCTGGAATCAGTTAGGAAGAGGACAAGGTCCTTGGTTGGTGTCTCCTTGCAATGTCAACTTTAGCCCGCTGGAAACATCCCAGCTCGTATGCAGAGATGGTTCTGTCCCCAGAAAACTCTTTGTTATGATATCACTGTTGGCTTTCGTTTACGGATTACAGTACAACTTAAATGTCAGTATTCAAAACTTGAAGTCCACAGGGTTTGTTCAGCCAGAAGTGCAAATGAAATTTAGTTCAGGCTCCTGGCAAGACTTGCTTTCGCGTTTATCAAACTGACATTCAAACCAAAGAAATAAAAATACCGCTAAAATATCAGGTGCCATTGAATGCCTGGAGAAGCTGTGACAGGAGCATTGCTTTTCTTTCCCTCCTGTAATCAGATTTATCTGCACTTCTGAGCAAACATCTGCATGAGGTATTTAGTGGTTCTTTCTTTTTTCCCTTGGATCTGGTTTTGCAGCCTAAACGAGCCGATAGCTCAGTCAGCTTGGATAGGGTGTTTGTGACTGTGTGAAAACCCTTCAATGCTCACGGTGTCTGGGATGTCCAAAGGCAGGCTGCAAAGCCTTGGTAGGCACCCCAGGTGCCTAAGTGTGGCCAAACAGAAACGGTTCCAGCTTCTAACTGGTTGTCTTGTCCAGTTAAGCAATTTTTCCACTTCAGTCTTTCTTGAGTTTTAATGTGGGGCGGTAACTCAACTCCTGCGAATAGTAGGGCTTGTTTGGGGCAGATATGGAAATGTTCTTTCTTTTCCAGATTTTCATCTTGTAGCCTAGCAGAATGAAAAAAATTGTCCATGCTCTTGCCATTTGTCATTTTAAAACATTGTTTTTAAGCAATGATTGATATCTTAGCTGAAAGTGCTGTTTTTTCAGAAGCGCTTTTTTATCCCCACTGAATGGGACCATCTACCTTTCTTTTTTGCTGTTTCTAGCCTCTTCTACCTGATGCTCAATACTGACTCATCTTCAGTGTCACGGTGTTGGGATCTGCCCTGTAGACCCTTCCTGTTCCAGCTTCTATTGTTGCTGTTCTCCCTAGCATCTGTAAAGCTCAGTATGGCTCAGGTGGCCAGATATTCCCAGAGGTAACTCTGCAGGAGAGATCTGTCCTTTGTCCCAGCTGGTAAAGGGATTCCTTGGTCCTAAGTTATGCTTTTCCCTCCGTGTCAATTTGAGATGTCACAGGAGGAGTGTTACTGATACCCTCATGTACCTCCTTGGCAAGGAAAGGTCTTTGAGAAGGAGAAGTCAGAGGATACAGACCGTTACCTACATGTCCTCTCCTATCTGTTACCTGAAGATGGAGCCCTATTTACAGACAAACACCACGAGTGACCTCTCCTGGGAGAAAGGAAGCGGAAGAAATGATACAACACAACATCTATTTGGATGGGGAAAACCGAACAAAACTCCCCAAGTAACTAGGAGGTGGGAGCAGGGCAGTATTTCAAGCTGCAGGGTTTTTCCTTATCCAAAATGGAATTTCTTTTGGTTTTGGGTCATTGCCACAAACCAAAGGAGCAAGAAGGAAGGGGATTTTTTTTTTTTTTAGATATATTTGAGACTTCGAGAAGGAAACTTTTGATCATCTTCAAGGTCCTAAAAAATGAGTGGGAGAGACAAATGCAGCCCATGCAGCGTAAGGCAGAATTTGCTGCTAGCCCTGCTTCAAAAGAAACATTTTGTGAAGAACAGCAATCCTGAGAAAGGAAAGGGCATTGGAATAAATGCCATCAATAATACCGTGTTTTGTCCTCGAGTTGGTGCCCATGTTCTCAGAAGTGGGAGACGAGGATTATGCCTCGTCTAACATACTATGTTAGCCTCCTCCTTTGTCTTTGGCTGCTGAAGATATCTTATTTCAGGTTGATACATCCCATACTTGTCTCAGAAGCGGGAGACGAGGATTATGCCTGTAGGGATTGCTAAACATACTCTGTTAGCCTCCTCCTTTGTCTTTGGCTGCTGAAGATATCTTATTTCAGGTTGAAACATCCCATACTTGGCTGCTGCCAAAAGTGAAATTATAATTTTGATGACAAGATTAGGGTGTTTAAAGCATGAGAAGAGTTAAAATAAACATTTCCTCTCTATTAAAGCTGATAAAATAAAATGAGGTGTGCGTAGTTTGAGTGGCTGTGCAGCCAAAACTACTGGAGTACAAGAACTGAAGATTAGCAGTGATGGCAGAGTGGTGCTTATGTTTATCCTCGATGGAGTTGATTTGGGTTTCTCTACTTTTGTTCAGAGTTCAGGGTGAACTGGAGTAACAACATGTTGCATGTGGCACTTCACCTCAGACTACCTGCCTCGCCAGGCCGGAACCTCAAATAGCAAGAATCGCCTTTGCAGAACATGGGAAATGGGCAGGAAGAACCATCATGGGAAAATGCAGATTTGTTACAGTTCTGTTGATTAGGATTTGGTCAGCTTTAACTAAGTAATGACATGGAAGGTTTCTCTGGTGCAGCGTATCATTTTGAAGCGGGAAGGAGAGAAGTAGGCTAGGATAAAATGCCAGACCCAGTAGGTCCATCGGTACGCCAGATGGCTGATACGCTTCAGGCTGTGGAGGAGCAGTTTGCAGGAGAGTTGCAACTTTCAGATCCTCTGGCAGATATCCTTGGTTTCATGAATAAACTTCCATGTACATTTAGCTGTCATGACTCCAAATTAGGTGAAGTTGGGACATTTCACAGATGAGTGGCTTCAGATTAAGCATCAGCCGTAGTTTTGAGCTCTGCTTCTAGGTTTGAGATGCTGCCAGCTGTGCTGATGCTTTCATTGGAAGAGAAGAAACATGCTCTCAGGAAGCATAGTAGATAGTGGAGATTGTTTCTGTAAAATTGGATAGCCTGGTGTTGCCTGATCTATGAGGCTGGGAATAAACCATCCAGCTTTCCATGCTATGTGGTAGAAGCAATGAGATATTTGGATGCTAGTGTACAGTACGGAAACGGTAAGTGCTTTTCTGCCCACTGTCACGAGTGAAAACAGAGCCTGTAGCTTTTCTGCTGCCCTGATTCTGTGCTGCTGCCTGGAAACCTGAAGAAGAGGAGGCAGTCCAAGCGATGTCAGCCTGGATCAGGGATTGCCCTGGCTCCAGCGGTTCGGCAGAACGTGACATGGGGAGACCTGGGTTACTGCTAGCAGGAGCACAAGTGTGTTGGCAAAAGAGAGGGGTTTGCGAGGCGACTGTGCCTGTGTGCCTTCTGCTTAGCTGTGGAGCATCCCACCTGCCCTCCTTGCTGATTCTGGCCTTTGTTATTACCGTTTGTGTT